TTCTTAGAGGTACAATTAAGTGTTCTGGAATACTCATACTTCTCAATGTTGTCCATAGCTTGTCATGATCCACACAATCGAAAGCCTTTGCGTAGTAAATAAAGCACAGGTAAACATCCTTCTGATATTCTCTGCTTTCAGCCAAGATCCATCGAACATCAGCAATGATATCTCTCGTTCCACGGCCTCTTCCATGACCTTAAATATACTCCACCTGAATTTAGAGATCATTTCAAGAAAAGATATCATGGATTAAACACTAATGACTGAAAACCGGAAGAGTTGTGGGATGACATCAAGAATATTGTACAGGAAGAAAGCAAAAGATCATCAAAACAACAAGGAAGAAAAAAAAGACCAAAGTGGATGTCAGAAGAGATTCTGAAACTTGCTATCCAGCATAGAGATAATAAAGCAAATGGAAAAAATGAGGAGGTAAAAAAGCTAAACAGAAATTTTCAAAGGGCAGTTCAATTAGACAAAGTAAAAAATTATAATGAAATGTGCGAAGATCTGGAGTTAGAAAACCATAAGGGAAGAACACATACAGTACTTCTCAAGCTGAAAGAACAGAGATAAAAATTCAATGTTCAACTTGAAATACTGAAGGATTCTTTTGGGCAGAATATTGAATGATACAGAAAGCATCACAAGAAGATGAAAAGAATACATAGAGTCATTAGACCATAAAGTAATGGTTGATGTTCAACCATTTCTAGAGGTAGCATATGATCAAGAATCAATGTACTGAAGGAAGAAACCCAAAGTGCACTTAAGGCATTGGCAAAGAGTAAGGCTCTGGGAATTGATGGAATATGAAAAAGTATAACTGATCTAGCATTGGAGGCACACACTTATTATCTATGCCAAGAAATTTGGAAGAGCCAACTGATTGGAAGAGATTCATGTTATTGTTATTAAGTGCTGTCAAGTCGATTCTGACCCATATGCAGCTGGTGAGCTTGAACCACCGATCTTGCAGTTCATATGGCTAAGAGATCCATATAAGTGCCCATTCCAAAGAGAGGTGACCCAACAGAATGCAGACATCATCATACAATATCATTAATATCACATACCAGTAAAATTTTGCTAAAGATAGTTCAAAACTGGCTGCAACAGTACAATGACAGGGAACTGCCAGAGGTTCAATCCAGATTCTGATGAGGATATGTAACAAGATATCATTGCTGATGTTAGGTGGATCTTGGCTGAAAGCAGAGAATACCAGAAAGATATTTATCTGTGCATTATTGACTATGCAAAGACTTTTGACTATGTGGATCATGGCAAGCTATGGACAACATTGCAGAGAATGAGTATTCTGGAACACTTAATTGTGCTCTATAGGAATGTGTAGATAGACCAAGAGACACATGAGGACAGAATAAGGGACACTGAATGGTTTACAATCAGAAAATTTGTGCACCAGTGTAGTATTCTTTCACCATACTTATTTTGTTTGTATTTTGAGCAAATTATCCAAAAGGCTAGATTATGTAAAGAAGAAATATGGCATCAGGATTGGAGGAAGACTCATTAACAACCTGTGATATGCAGATTATACAACCTTGCTTGTCGAATGGGAAGATAACGCAAAATACTCTTGATGAATATCAAAGACCACAGCCTTTCGTATGGGTTGCACCACAACGCAAAGGAAACAAAAATACTTATGACTGGAGCAATATATAACATCATGATAAATGGAGAAAGGATTGAAATTGTCAAAGACTTCAATCCACCATCAAAACTCATGGAAGCAACAGTCAAGAAATCAATGAATTGCATCAGGCAAATCTGCTGCACAAGACTTCTTTAAAGTGTTCAAGAGCTAAGGTGTCAGTTTGACGAGTAAGGTGCGCCAGACCCAAGCCATGCTATTTTTAATACCCTCATATGCATGTGAAAGTTGGACAATGAATAAGGAAGACCAGAGAATAATTGATAGATTTTAGTTATCATGTTGGAGATGAATATTAAAGCACCATAGACTTCCAGAAAACAAACAAATCAATGTTGGAAGAAGTACAACCAGAATGCTCCTTTGAAGCCATGATGGCCAGACTTTGTCTCTCATACTTCAGACATATTATCAGGAGGTGCCACTTCCTGTAGAAGGTAAAATGGAGGGACAACGAAAAAGAAGGATACTCCCAACGAGATGGATTGGCATAGTGGAAGCAACAACGGGCTCAAGTATAGCAGGACTGAGTAGTATTTCCTTCTGTTGTACATAGGATGTCTGTGGTTGGGAACTGACTCAATGGCACCTAAAAACAACAAACATTCTTGATTACACTCAGCAGGCATGAATCCGGTGACACACAGGACTGTGTACAAACATCCTTCTGTGTGAGAGTGACTAAACTGCATGCAGTGCTTTTGAAGTCAGTAAGAACAAGTTTCCATGAGAAAATTTTATAGGGTAAGCCTCACTAGGAAATGACAGTGTTTTCAGAGACATTATTGTGAATTCTTAATGGGAGGTATAACTACCATAAATAGGCTATGACAGTCTCATGAGAGTCAAGTTTAAATGCCTACTCTGCCCTCATGAATTGGACGTGTTTTTATCTTCTTAAGGTTTCATTGAAAAATGATTAAATAGCACCTACCTTCCCAGATTATATTAATATTAATGACATAATATGGTAAAGTCCTGGTGTGATATTCTAGGATCAGCACTGGACTGCTTACTACAAAGTCAGTGGTTCAAACCCACAAACCATTCCTCAGAAACTCTATACAGGGTTGTTATGAGTCAGAACCAATTTGACGGCATTTAACAGCAACAATACATGGAAAGTGTTTGATAAATGGCTTTATTATAGCTCTCATGATAATACTGATAATGAGAATCAGTATCAGGAACTATTAATCTGACCCAGTGGTGCTCAAATTACAGTGCATAAGAATCCAATGGAGAGCCCATTAAAAGAATTTTTAGAATCTCATCTCGGAAGTTGGAATGGAAACCTAAATTTGCATTTCTATCAAGTTCAGGAGTAATGCAGATGCTGCTGCCTACTTATTTTATTTCTCTAGACACCCAGCAAGTTAACATCAGGGTTTTCTGATTCCATATCCAACCTTCTTATTTGTTAAACCCCACTATTCCCCAATTCTAATTCTGGGCTTGAGAACCTATGCTCATTAAGAAAACGTTAAACTAGAATTCTTACCTTACAGCACTCAGACTGACAAATAAAACTAAAATGAAAGCTATGCTGTGAAATGAGAAGTGCTCGATCTCTCCACATCCAACCACAATGCCAAAAAAGGTGTATATTAACTGATGAAATATAGATGAAAATATCAGTAAGAACCTAGGAGCAATAAAAGGAAATTTACTTTTTAAGCAATGAATTTTTTTAAATGTTATACTTTTCATATAAAGGCCATTCTTATTTTAACAGAGGCCCTTGCCTCCATCACTGTTGTATCAACACTGAAAAGTATTTTACTGGAACTAAAAACAGCCAGTTCTGAATCCTCCATTATCCTTGTCACAATATCCGTGGGCTGCTCTTCACAGCAGAACAGAAAAACCAAAGCAGAAAAATAAGGACTTCCTCAAAATAGTGGTATGTCTATATCTCAGGGATTAGCTGTCAGAATATCAACTGCAAGCCCACCATAACTAAACCTGAAACTAGGGCTGCTGCAAGGAGGCACCTGGGTGAACTTAATGTGGCAATAGTTCACAAGGCCACCTCCACGTGCTTCTGCCCAACTTCTCTCACTGTGACTCGGAAGTGCTCTTCCTGTCACCATAAAGTTGCTCAGCTCAGTCTGCTTTCCTATTAACTGAAATCCTAAAATTCTGGTAAAGCGAACACTAACACCATGTCCTCCAGGAAATTATATTAAGCACTTGTTGGAAGCAATCCTCCACAGAATCCATTCCTACAGAGTCAATTGCCCACACTACCATGATTCTTAAGAAGAAAGAGTGTGAGAATCACCTAGATTGCTTTCTAAAACTCTACATGACCAGTCCCTGCCCCAAAGATTCTTACAGTGAGGGTCTGTGACTGAGGTTGGGTCTAGGGCCTTTCATAGTCTGTATTCTGTTTGACACCAGGTGATAACACTCCTGGGTCAGGGCCAGGTCTGATTTTATGAGCATCTCTCAGGTCCTGTCTCCTCTTGCTCCCCTTTAATGGGGGCTTCCTCTTTCACCTGACTGGATAGATGTATCTGCCCCACAAACCAGTCTCCCTTCAAGTGGGTCTCAAGATCTACACTCAGAGAAAAAAACATTAGGAAGACTATTTTTAGCACAGGTATATGCCATATTCTCTAATATACAATGAAGCAGGAATTTTGATTTGCCATCTGGTTCCTATACCTTGAGCCAATTGATTTAGAGCTTTTAGAGGAGACCTCAAACCCCAATGTTTAGTTTTCTGAAAATCATGAAATAACTGAATTAAATACATTTTTATATCCCTCCACAAGACCTAAAAAAAAGGCTTAACGGAGTAAGTTTGTGATAAATTGTTTTCTGCATAGATGTGTCTACCACTTAACAACGAGCTCCTTCTGAGAAGGCTGCCTATCTTCATAATCTAAAACCTAACATAGAACATCCAAGCCACAGTAAACATTAAGAAAGAATTGTTTGAATGGGTGGAAAAATAAACAACTGAATTAATAGAAAGAGTAACTTATCAAGCTGACATATACTGAGCTCAAGAAACTGCCCAAATCCAGACACCAAATCTATGCTTTATGAACTAGTTGCTTCCCAAGCTTTTGGATTTTATAAACAAAGCTTCACTCATACACAAAACTAAACGTAGTTATAGGTGGCAGTTTTTATTTGCCAGGTAAGCATAGACACGTAGAAACACATATAGATAACAATTAACATCACTGCTATTTCATAAAATAAATGACATTATAAATACCAACAATAACAAAAAAAGCAGGAAGGATTTAACTTGGGAAAACTCAGTATGATAGTTTACTGTTTTCATATCAACATTTGCTTTCATTCTGTGTGAGAATGTCTACACTGGATTATGATTTGGTGCCAAAAAATTCTAAAGCAGTTCTGTAACTTAGAATAGTCTTTCAGACAATGGTTACGTTATTTGTCTGAGAAGACAGTCTGGGAAGTTCAGATGTCCGTGTGACCAAATATAAAGAGTAGGAAAACGGATTGGTGAGGCTGTGTCCTTCTGCTACTTTTCTTTTCCATTGGAGCTGTACTCATATTTAGGGCACTTTTACCCAGAAATGAATAAATGAATAAGGATTTAAAAAAAAAAATCCTTCCAACTCAAATAAAATTTTTATCAGTTATATGTGGAGAGCACTATATATGCATTGTTCTTGACAGAATTAACAGAGACACGTATGCATTGTTCTTAACAGAATTATCTATTTGTATCAATCTTTGTTAATACCTTAAGTTCTTTTCAAAGAAAAGCAGTAGTAAAATTAAAAGGCAGATACAAGTTATATAAAGACTACTTTATTAGTGCCCTTGAGAGCAGCACCCCTTAAGCACTAAATATACGAGAGCTAAACCAAGCACACATCAGGACACTTACTTAGTAATTACAAACTCGATCCTCGGTTTAAAACTCAATTTATCTAAATTCAGTCCTACAGTGACTAAAGCAATAATGCCTGACATTCCAAAACATTCCGCTGGAGAGGAAAAAAAAGAAAAGGCAGATAAATCAATTTAAATGCATTATATAATTTGTGCATTGAGGTACTTTATCTTGAGAGAAGACTTTGAGAGGAAAACAAAGTAGTATTTCTTAGAAATTTGCTTCAAAGGATTGACCTAATCCTCCAGACCAGGGGCCAGCAAACTTTTTCTAGAAAGTACCAGATACTATCCTACGGAAAGTACTCAACTTAGGTCACACAATTCTTATGACAACTACTCAACTCAGCTGTTTTAGTACAAAGCAGTCATAAACAGTATCTAAATGAATGAGTGCTCAATAAAACTTTATTTATGAATACTGAAATTTGAATTTCACTTCATTTTTACATGTCACTTAAAACTCTCTTTTTGATGTTCTCAGTCATTTGAAAATATAAAAATCATTCTTAAAGTGAACAGTAACAACCATGAGGAACATGCTCCTCACAATAAGACCAAAAGGCTGCACTCACCCAAAAACCAAGTTCAGAAAGAAGGAATAGGCAGGAAAGATGGACAGATAGACATGAGTAACCCAGGGAAGAAGGTGACTGTTATATTGAAACAAAATATGAACTAGTGAATGGGGAACTAATTTGCTCTCTAAACTTTCACATGAACCACAATAAAAAAAATCTTAACATGTGAGTTGAATAAACCCAGGAAGCTTTGTGCTGTGTGCAGTAGTTTACTGACCCTGCTGTAGACCATCACTGAGGATAAGGCTAGTGGATAAAGAAACCTAACACCTTTTGCCCAGCACCTCAAGGACATCTCTACAGTGTGCTCTGGGGCTATGGTCCAAGCTCAGTGCTTCACTAGTAATGCAGTTCCTAAAACCTGCAAACCACAAGGTCTGTGGCTCAAGCCTACCAGCCACTCCAGGGGGAAAAAGATGAGGTTTTCTGCTCTTGCAAAGATTTACAGCCCTGGAACCCTATACACGGTCACTATGAGTTGGAACCAAGTTGACAGCACTTAACAACAACAGCATCACTCAACTCTAAGTCACAAAGACCCTATGTGTGTCAGTGTAGACCTGTGTTCCATAGAGTTCTCAATGGCTGATTTCTTGGAAGCAGACGGCCTTTGTTTCAAGGTTGTTGTTATGTGCCATGGAGTCGGTTCCGGCTCATAGCGACCCTGTACAGGGTTTCCAAGACTGTAAATCTTTATGGGAACAGAAAGCCTCATCTTTCTCCCATGGAAGTTAGTAGTTTCGAACTACTGCCTGTGAGGTTAGCAGCCTGCTTCATAAGCACGACGCTACCAGAGCTCCTTTTGTTCCACGGTACTTGTAGTGAATTTAAGTCTCTGACTGTTCTGGTTAGCAGCTGAGCATTATATTAGCAGCTGAGCATATTTGCACCACTCAGGAAGTCCTCACCGGATACTGATAAAAAACAAACAAAACAAAAAACCTCCCTGCCATCAAAAGGATTCCAACTCACAGCAATCCTCCATAGGGTCCCTGAGACTGTAAGTCTTTAAGGGAGCAGACAGCCAGAGCTCCACTTCTCAGATAACCAAAACCCAAACCCACTGTCATCAAGTCGATTCTGACGCATAACGACGTTACAGAACAGAGCAGAGCTGCCCCTTTGGGTTTGCAAGATGTTAAATCTTCATGGGAACACATAGCTTCATCTTTCTCCTGAGAAGCAGCTGGTAAGTTTGAAATGCTGAACTTGCAGTTAGTAGCCCAGTTCATAACCTACTGTGTCCCCAGGACTCCTTTGAATACTTGTGTGGTGGTGGTGGTGGTGGTGTGCCACTGAGTCTTGATTCAGAGCAACCCTGTATAGGGTTTCTGAGGCTGTAAATCTTTAGGTGAACAGAAAGCCTCGTTTTTCTTATACAGAGTGACTGGTAGATTCAACGTGCTGACCTTGCAGTTAGCAGCAGTCCAGCTCAGAATCCACTACATTGTCAGGATTCCTTTAATAGTCATATGTTGTTGTTGCTGTTATTAAGTGCCATCGAATAAGTTCCAATTCATAGAAACTCTATTTGGGTTTCTGAGGAGCAGCTGGTTGAACTGCCAACCTTGTGATTCACAGTCCAGTGCCAATTCTACAGCACTACACAAGAAATCCAATATAGATATTTAATTGTCAGCAATTAAACAAATGCATAGATGTAGCCTGAGTCAGAAAAACCAACTATAATAAATATCTGAGTATCATAAATACCAATGGTTTTAAGTCTTCAAATACTGCGTTGTAAACATCATATAGAAATGAACAGAAAGATTGCAAATAGAAGTGGAAGAGATTTGGGATCTGGTAGACCCGATTTCTCTAGGAACATGACCTCTCATTCTGTCCTAGTTCTCCACATCTGTAAAATGAGCATAAAATGGTATGTGTCATACATTTGTTGTGAGAATTAAATTGTTGTTAGATGCCATCGAATCAGTACCGACCCATAGCAGTCCTGTGTACAACAAAACAAAATAGTGCCTGGTCATGGGCCAAGCTCACAATGGTTGCCACACTTGAGCTTATTGATACTGCCACTGTGCCAATCCATCTGGCTGGGGGGTCTTCCTCTTTTTCTCTGACCCTCCACCTTACCAAATATGATATCTTTCTCCAGCGACGGGTCCCTCCTGACAATATGTCCAAAGTATGAGAGACAAAGTTTGGCCATCTTGGCCTCCAAGGAGCACTCTGGCTGCACTTCTTCCAACACAGATCTGTTGGTTCTTTTAGCCCATGGCACTTTCAATATTCTCCTCCAATGCCATAACTCTAAAGCATCAATTCTTCTATGGTCTTCCTTATTCACTGTCCAGCTTTCGCATGCATATGAAGTTATTGAAAATACCATGGCTTCGGTCAGGCGCACCTTAGTCCTCAAGCTGACATCTTTACTCTTCAACACTTTAAAAAGGTCTTGTGCAGCAGATTTGCCTAATGCAATACGTCATTTGATTTCTTGACTGCTGCTTCCATGAGTGTTGATAGCTGATCCAAGAAAAATGAAGTCCTTGACAACTTCAATCTTTTCTTCATTGATAAGAATGTTGTTTATTGGTCCTATAGTGAGGATTTTTGTTTTCTTTACATTGAGATGAAATCCATACTGAAGGCTGTGCTCTTTGATCTTCATCAGTAAGTATTTTAAGTCCTCTTCAGTTTCAGCAAGCAAGGTTGTATCATCTGCATATCACAGGTTATTAATGTGTCTTCCTCCAATCTTGATGCCACATTTTTCTTCATAGAACCGTTTCTCATATTATTTGCTCAGCATACAGATTGAGTAAGTATAGTGAAAGAATACAACCTTGTCGCACACCTTTCTTAATTTTAAACCATTCTGTGTTCCCATGTTCTATTCGAACAACTGCCTCTTGGTCCATGTACAGATTCCTCATGAGCACAAATAAGTGTTCTGGAATACTCATACTTCACAATGTTGTTAAATTGTTGTTGTTATTAAGTGCCATCGAGTCGGGTCCAACCCATAGCGACCCTGTACAGGGTTTCCGAGGGTGTAAATCTTTACGGGAGTAGAAAGCCTCATCTTTCTCCCGCGGAGCGGCTGGTAGTTTCAAACCGCTGACCTTAAGGTTCGCAGCCCAATTCATAACCACTACGCTAATAAAGGGCTCCAATGTTGTTGTTGTTGTTAAGTGCCATCGAGTCGGGTCCAACCCATAGCGACCCTGTACAGGGTTTCCGAGGGTGTAAATCCTTACGGGAGTAGAAAGCCTCATCTTTCTCCCGCGGAGCGGCTGGTAGTTTCAAACCGCTGACCTTAAGGTTCGCAGCCCAATTCATAACCACTACGCTAATAAATTAGATGATGTGAAAACTTCTTGACATATAGCTGTTGCTGTTGTAAATACCATTAAGTTGGTTTCAACTCATAGTGACCCTGTAGAGGGGTTCTGGCAAGTAACTGATGGACTTCAACTACTGACCTGTGGTTAGAAGTCCAGCTCTTATCCTACAGTGTCACACCAGGATTTATAGCAGGCAGTTAATAAATGATAATCATTATCATGATGTTCATTGTTTTTTATTCCCTTTACTGTTTAGTAACAATACTGCTTATTGATTTGAAGAAGATCTTTATTATTCTTTTGTTTTATCTAGATATTTAAGCTTACTTTTGGCTTCTTTTTTACCTACTTATTTGACTAATTTAATATAAATAATTAATGATATTTAAAACCAGTAGTAGCAAGAACTGTGATAACAAGGAAATTGTCTCTCAAAATCTAATTTCTAATTTTCTATAATTAGCATTACTGGATTTTAAAGCTTATCATTGTTCTTTTCAATAACAGTCACTACTTACAGTCCTGGTGTGGTGCTGCAGAATAATCACAGGACTGCTAACTGAAAGGTCAGTGGTTCAAACCCACCAGAACAGACTCAACAGCACTTAACAGCAATAACAACTTAGAGATAAGGGAGTCTTGGTGGTACTTTAGGATAAGCAGTGGACTGCTAACCACAAGGTTGGCAGTTCAAACCTACCAACTGATCAAGGGAGAAAGATGAGGCTTTCTGTTTTCATAAAGATTTACAGCCTCAGAAACCATATGTAGAGTCACTATTAGTCAGAATTGACTCAATATCTCCTAACAGCAACTTGGAGATAGCACATACAATGAGGAGGAACCAATAAGTCAGTTTTTTTTTAAATTAACACCTTCATCTCATTGAAAGATACAGCAAAGTGGCAGGGTACAAGATCAACATAAAAAATTAGTCAGATTCCTTTATGCTAATAGAGTTCTGAAAAGGAAATCAGGAAAACAATACCATTTAAAATAGTCACCCATAAGATGAAATACTTAAGAATAAATCTAACCAGAGAAACAGAAGACCAACACACTGAAAACTATAAAACACTATTAAAAGAAACCAAAAGAGAGCTACAAAAATGGAAGACTATACATGCTCACAAATAGGAAAATTTAACATTGTGAACATGTCAACATTACCTAATGCAATCTATAGATATAATGCAATCCCAATTTAGATTCAAACATCATTCTTTAAAGAGATGGAAAGCTAATCACTAACTTTATATGGAAAGGAAAGAGACCCAGATCAAGCATTACTAAAGAAAAACGAAGTAGGAGACCAAGTCACTTCCCAATCTCAAAACCTATAACACAACCCCTTAGAACTATCTGGTACAGCTACAGTGAAAGACATATAGATCAATGGAACAAAATTGGGGGCCCAGAAGTAAATCCATCCACCTACGGTCAGCTGATCTTTGACAAAGGATCAAAACACACTAAATGGTGAAGATAGAGTCTTTCCAACAACTGGAAATCCATTTGCAGAAGAATGAAACAAGATCCATATCTCACACCATATACAAAAGTGAACTCTGTGTGGATTAAAGACCTAAATGTAAAACCTAGAACTATAAAGATCTTTAACGAAAAAATAGGGACAAACTTAGTGGCATCAATGCACTATCAAACATAACTGAAAACACAAACAGCAGAAGAATAAATAGACAACTGGGACTTCATAAAAATCAGGCACTTATGTGTATCCAAAAATTTCACCAAAAAAGTAAAAAGAGAACTCATAGACTGGGAAAATAATTTCAGCAATGACATATCAGACAACAGACTGATGTCCAAAATTTATAGAAAACTTTAATACCTCAACAAGAAAAAGACAAATAATCCAATTTAAAAACGGGCCAAAGACATGGACAGATACTTGTTGTTTTATGAAATGAGTGGGAAATGAAAAAGAACAAATGTCCGGATACAAGTGATATTAAAACAAACAAAAATTTCACTCACTTAACACAATAAAGACAAAAAATGAAAATTGGTATATGTGCTCTGTGGTGCCTTGTAGAATGCCAAGCAATAACTGGAACAACCTCCAATATTTTGAAGGAAAGAGGAAGGGAATCAACATTTATAGACTATCTTACTTTGAGACTATTGCTGTACTAATAAATATTTAAAACTGGCACTCTGGGTGTGAAAAAACTCTAATCTGTTGTATTTGCCAGTTTTCCTAGTGTAAATACTTTCATTGTAACCAATTTCAAGTTACTAATATGACATTTAATATGACACAGAGTTAGGAAGAGATGTGCACAATAATTCAAACAAGTAGGTAAGAATTGTTGCTAGTAACTAGTCACATAACAGATATGATCTCATTAATTCCTGTAATAATCCTTTAACTTAGGCATTATTATAACACTTTTATATTGTTGTTGTTGTTGTTGTTGTTAAGTGCTGTCAGGTCAACTGTCACTCATATCGACCCTTATAGGGTTTCCAAGGAGCAGCTGGTAAGCTTGAAGCACGGACCTTGCAGTCAAACGACTGAAGTCTGATGCATCAGTCCCCAGCGCCACACCAGGACTCCCATAACATTTTTATAGATGACAAAAATGAAGCTAAGAGAGGTTGCATAAAAAGGTTACCAAGTTGTGGAGTTGGAATTTCAGCTCAAGTCTACCTAATGCTAAAGATCTTCAAGGCCTAATGTTGGTTTATTCTGTCAACATATACATTAAATTAGTATTCTGGCTTTGGCAGCAGGAAGCTAGAAAACAAAACAAAACAAAACAAAAAACAAAGATGGCTTTTTTAAAAGAAGAAAAAATGGCTTCCAATTCATTCTTCTAAAGCATCCACTCTATGACCATATATTTCATTCCTGGCTCCAAAGAAGCACCAGATATTAAATGTATGGTCCTAGGGAATCCTGGTGTGGCTCTGTAGGTTAATGTGCTGGACTGCAAGCTTGGTTGGCACTGCTAGGTCGGTGGCTCAAGTTCACCAGCCACTCCTTGGAAACCCTACACAGGGTCACTGTGAGTCAGAACCAGTTTGACGGCACTTAACAACAGGGTACCTGCTCAAGAAGAAAAAGAGAATAATCATGGAGAGGAGGAGTACAAAGAGAAAGGGAGATAGTTGAAATGAAGAGGTATGGAGAGAGACTAGGGAAGAGCTAGAGGTGGCAGGAAAATGGCAGAACGGCCACAAAAGGGAAGATGTTGTTGGAAAGAAGCAATTGGATCAAGATCAGAAGAAAATAAAGATTTATGAATTTCACTGAAACGACAGCATTTTTTTAGGCATGTTTCTTCCTTACCAAGGTAGAAGGTCATGTACAACAATGAAAAGCAGAGAATGACATTAGTCAGCGTATTGCTTAGAAGGTCTATCAGTGTCAACTGAATGATTTTTGCACACATATATCCACATGTCATGCTTCCGAAAACATTCAAGAAAAGATATATGGTTGTACTGAGGTCTAAAAAAGAAAATGAGAAACAAAAGATTTAATTATAATTAAATCTTGCTTTTTCATTGATGGTATTGAGGTCTGTGCACTTTGGGTTGGTCTTAAGATTTTGAGTGGAGACTTTGCTCTCAGCAGATAGAAGGAGTTCTCAATGAAAATGTGGCAAAAGAGGTAGGTATGTTTGCGTTACAGTCATCAACTTGAAATTGACTTACCAAGTTTAGCAGCCTCAAATGCCCTCAGGACCCTCACAGGGAACATAAACATGAATAGCTAGTGATAAACTGAAGAGTAACGTCTAACCAAAAGACATCCAAATTTTTAAAAATTTATAAACTATGTTTGTTGTTATTGTTGTTAAGTGCCATCAATTCAATTCCGACTTTACAGCCAAAGAAACCATGCCCAATGTCTCTGTGATCACGCAGGCAGTTTGTGATCCCTGTCTCTATCCCAGGGGCATCTGGGAAATAAGAGAGGGGAATTTTTGGTAGTCACAATAACTGGGGGCCTTAGTGGCATTTAGTGGGCAGGTATCCTGCAAGATCAGCAGTTCGAAACTACCAGCTATTCCACTGGAGAAAGATGAAGCTTTCTGCTCCTGTAAAGATTTACAACCTTGGAAACCCTGTACAGTGTTGCTATAAGTCAGAACCAACTCTACAGCACATAACCAACCACCACCACCATCAAACTATGTCAAGGATAGTTTTTAAATAACAAAGATTGTCCCATCCAAAATGCCTATTACTACCCCATTGAAAAATACTGCAAACCTACAAAATTACCTCTGTCTGCCAATATTTCTTTCTCTTCTAATACATGTTTCCACCTGAAATTACCACATTAATATTTAAGGAGGACACCTTTCCCCTTTTTATGCTATGCTCTATCTTCCCCCTCCCTACCACTTCTCTACTAGTGCCACATCTAGAAATCTAGCAAAGCAACATGCTTTATAGACTACGAATCTGGCTATTGCCCATTCCAGGACCTGACTCTCAAGTATTACTTGAACCCTTCTGCTTTCTCGACTGAGAAATTGTTTTCCTTGGATAAGAAAGGGAACAGAAGTGTTCGTTATTTTAATGGATCCAAGAGTAATGTACAGGGAAACAATGGAATTAAGATATCTAGAATATCTTTTAATTTCAATGTTAATTAATATCTATCATATAAAATGACTTTAGAAAATGTGCAGGAAAAAAATGTTTTTACCCTTAAACATTTGAATGTCAGGTATGTCCTCACGTAAAATTCCAAAAACAATGGATGTGATGCTACATGTGATCAAAGATTCTCCTCTAATGATATCGATATACACTTTGGAAATATCTGGAAAAGGAAGCATAAAATATGACTTAATGTAATACAAAAATTATGCTTTTGCACCAGAAAGAGAAATAGAAGGGATGAAACATGCTAGAGTTAAAAAAAGCAATCATGACTGGGATGGGTCTTCAAGATAAGAAACTAAATCTGACATACCAATAGTTTTCAGTGAATTCACAGAGTAAAGAGGATCTATAACGCTGAGGATGATGCTAAAAAGTATGGAAGATTGTAAATCCCACAAGTCTTCATTGAATTGCATAGCTATATATCCAATTGTGGCGACAGTCACAGAAAAGCTAATTGATCCAGTTAATAAGACCTGTGAAACCAATTCATATCACAGTGTTAGATTTAACATATAAAAATACCATGATGATATCTTTTTATGTCATAAAAATCAGATTTATTTTGTACAATTATTCTGGAAAATTACTTTAAAAGTATTCTCATTTCATTATCTGCCTCAAAGAAGCCAACCCTTCCAACCTAAAGAGATTCTACTTTAATAGTTTAAAAAAAAAATCAACAGTATTTCTTAATATTATTCAAATTTAAGGAGTCCTGGTGTGGTGCTGTGAGTTAATGCAGTGGACTGCAATGTTGGTTTAAACTGCAAAGTAGGTGGTTCAAGCTCACCAGCTGCTCCTTGGAAACCCTTTACAAGGTTGTTGTTGTTAAGTGATATAGAACTGACCCTATAGCACTTAACAACAACAACAATATTCAAATTTAATAGTTCTCAACATTGAACTGTTCTTAAAATATACTGCAAATGACACCTACTTCTGTGTAAAAAAATTCTTGGTTTCTTCAGTGTTAAAAATAAATAATTACTGTCATAATATATCTAGGAAATGACACAAATGTAAATATCAAGACTCTAAAATATTCAGAATCAATCCTTTCTCTTAACTTTTTCTTTGAAATTTTTATGTGAATTGAGTGAAGATTTACAGAGAAAATCATAAGGTTTACATTCAACACATCATACACTTTGCTTCATCTCCTTGCCAATTTGGATACTTTCAATTTCCTTTTTTCTTGCCTATCGCTCTGACTAAAACTTTCATCACAATATTGGATTGTTGTTGTTAGGTGCCATCGAGTCGGTACCGACCCATAGCGACCTAATGCACAGCAGAGCAAAACACTGCCCAATCCTGGGCCAACCTCACTAATGTTGCCACGCTTGAATCCATCAATGCTGCCACTTGGCCAATCCATCTCATTTGGGGTCTTCCTCTTTTTCTCAGACCCTCCACCTTACCAAACATGATATCCTCCTCCAGTGACTGGTACCTCCTGACAATATGTCTGAAGTATGAGAGACGAAGTTTGGCCATCTTGGCCTCCAAGGTGCACTCTGGCTGCACTTCTTCCAAAATGGATCTCTTGGTTCTTTTGGCAGCCCATGGCACTTGCAACATTCTCTTCCAGCACCATAACTCAAAAGCATCAATTCTTCTACGGTCTTCCTTATTCACTGTCCAAGTTTCACATGCATATGAGGTCATTGAAAATTCCATGGCTTGGGTCAGACGCACCTTAGTCTTCAAGCTGACATCTTTGCTCTTCAACACTTTAAAAAAGTCTTGTGCAACACATTTGCCTAATGCAATATGTTGTTTGATTTCTTGACTGCTGCTTCTGTGAGTGTTGATAGTTGATCCAAGAATGAAGTCCTTGCCAACTTCAGTCTTTTCTCCGTTGATAAGAACGTTGTTTATTGGTCAAGTGGTGAGGATTTTTGTTTTCTTTACATTGAGATGTAATCCATACTGAAGGCTATGGCCTTTGATCTTCATCAGTAAATGTTTTAAGTCCTCTTCAGTTTCAGTAAGCAAGGTTGTATCATCTGCATATCGCAGGTTGTTAAGGAGTCTTCCTTTAATCCTGATGCCACATTTTTCTTCATATAACCCAGGTTCTTGGATTATTTGCTCAGCATACAGGCTGAATAAGTATAGTAAAAGAATACAACCTTGTCGCACATCTTTTTAAATTTTAAAACATTCAGTGTTCCCAATATTGGATAGGAGTGGTGATAAAGGGCATCCTTGTCTGGCTCCTGTTCACAAAACAAACACTTTCAGTTTCTCTCCATTGAGAGTAATTCTGGCTTTGGGATTTGAATATATGCCCTTAATTATATTGTGGAAATTCCCTTTTTTGTTGTATTTTGTTCAGTGTTTTTTTATCAGGAAGGGATGTTGGGTTTTGTCAAATGCCTTTTCTATATCAATTGATATGATCATATCATTCTTTTCTTTTCTTTTTTTTTTAATGTGGTGGATTACATTGATTGAACCATCCTTACATACCTTTTGATCATGGTGTATTATCTTTTTTATATGTAGTTGGATTCTGTTTACTAAAATTTTGCTAAGAATTTTTTGCATCTATCTATGCTCATGAAGGATTATTGTTACTGTTACTAAGTGCCATCAAGTCGGTTCCAACTCACAGCAACCCTAGATATGCTTTCTGAGGAGCAACTAATGGGTTTGAATCATCAAACTTTTGGTTAGCAGTGTTAATCCTACAGTGCCACATTATGAATACTGGTCCATGATTTTCTTTTTGGTGATGTCTTTGCCTAGTTTTGGTATGAGGGTTATGTTCACTTCATAAAATGTATTCAGAGCTGCATCCTTCTGAAGTGGGACATTCCCACTAGAAAGGACAAGCAGACCAACTTAGAGAAGCTAGAAAAACTGAAGATACTTCTTGAAAGAAAGACCATCAGGAAATATCCAAAACAAAAATGGCAGTCTGATTGGCTACTGCAAGAACAAACAAGTTGTTCACTGGGGAGCCATCAAGGCAAGCAATCAAGTCCCTTCAGGACAAATCCCCCTCTAAGACTGAAACTCACAGCGAACAAATGAGCAGGTATATAAGCTTGCTGGTGACCACGTTGGTCTACTGGTGAGTGGAAGAGGGGGAAAGGCAGCAATGAAGATATAGGTTGAGTTCAACCATGTTCCATAGACTCCTATCGACCTGGAGATGAGAGAAAGGAGAGGAAGGGTTGATTGGTCTGAAGTTAATGAGACCTGGGGACTCCTGAGCTCATGGACAAGAACATAGCCATGGAGGGCTAGAGCTGAGAGTGACGTGTCCAGCTGATATAAAAAGAGGAGACACACAAAAATGCTCAAACTTGCAGATAGTACCTATTTGACCTAGCTTTGATGTCTGGAAAATCAGAATTCGATTAGAGGAAGATTGAAAAAAAAAAAAAACAAAAAAAACTTTGATAAACGAAATGAGTGTGAATTGCTACAATTTGATGAACTTGACCTATATTTATGGATGTAGTAGCTCAAAATACCAACTAAGAGGGAAGGAATCTTGACATCAAGTATCATTTCCATCCCCTCTGTATATAGGGTTGATAGGAACGGGCAACTTAGACATTGGCTACCTAAAATGGCTCAGGACCAGGCAGTGTTTCATTCTGTTGCGCATAGGGTCACTATGAGACAGTACTGACTCCATAGCACCTAACAACAACAACAACCTAAAATGGGGTGGGAGGGGGGGCTATAAAGGCACAAAGTGACTGGTTTACAAGTTTTTGAGAGGAAGTTTAGTTTCAGAGTGTGTAGGGAAAGATAGCGTCCCCATTGAATAGTTTTCATCTTGTCTAGTTGGGTCTGGTGAAAAGAGATGGGGATAAGATTCTTATGATTCAACAGTGAGTAATTGTTATCATGTCTAATTGAGACTGTTACAACTGTAAAGGTAGAAGTTTTATAACAAAAAGGGGGAGTAGTTAATCTTACAGTCCAGGAACAGAGGACCCTAGGGCCATCAAGGGAGAAGAGCATGAGCAGAATGTGGGAACCTATCCAGAGAAGCAGCAACACCAGAGATAGAGGCAGAGATGAGGACATGGAGAGATAGAGCAGCTGAGGACTCTAGACTCATAGGAAGAGAATGGTTGTGTGGTTGCAGCCAGGAGGCACACTTGCAGAATGTGCCCTTTGGTTGTTTAAATGATTATATATTCCTGAATGTTTTTTTAGTAAATCCCTTCCCCCCACCAAAAAAACCCAGAGGGAATAAAAGCAAATACTGTTGAATGATGATGCATGGAGGGGGCTGTAATCATTGTAATGAAACGATGAGTATAAAACTGATGTTCTCCCATGTTAACGATCACTCAATTCACAATAAAAACTTTTTTTTAAAAAGTGAGTAATATGAACAGAATTCAAATCACAATACTATGTAGAAAGATTACAGGCTGGAGTCTGGGGAATAAATTGAGGAACTAAGTAAATCTGTTAAAAGAGATATAGGCCAGACCTCGTTGTTGTTATTAAAGGCTGTTAAGTCAGTTCCAACCCATAGCAACCCTGTATATGGTTTCTGAGGAGGGGCTGGTGAGCTTGAACTGTCAACCTTACAGTTCAAATGATTTTGCAGTCCAGCACATTAACCCACAGTGCCACACCAGGACTCCATAGGCCAGACCTAGGTAGCACTGATTCGATATGCAATTATTTTAAGAATTTGTTGACTGAAATATTAGTAGAATACTGAGCATTTATGTGGCTGTGCACATGCCTGTATACTGAATGAGGAAGAAAGGCTATAACATAGTGATGTTCATTTCCCTATTACAATAAATTGCAGACTGTTTAAAACAAAAAGGACCATGGACTACCAGAAAATCTGTGTTGGAAGAGGTACAGCCAGAATGCTCCTTAGAAGCAAGGATGGCCAGACTTTGTTGCTCATACTTTAGATGTGTTATCAAGAGGGACTAGTCCTCAGAAAAGGACATCATGCTTGGTAAAGTCGAGGGTCAGTGAAAAACAGAAATGCCTTCAACAAGATGGATTGGCAGTAACAATGGGCTCAAACAGCAACAATTGTGAGGATGGCACAGGATTGAGCAGTGTTTTGTTCTGTTGTGCATAGGGTCACCATGAGTCGAAACCAACTCACCAGTACCTAACAACAGCATACAATGGAGTACTATGTAATTAAAACAAATAACGAGGCATTTACAAACATTTTATAACAGAATTATTCTAGAAGACATTATGCTGAGTGAAATAAATCAACTACAAGAGGACAAATATTGTATGGTCTTGGTGTGGTGCTGTGAGTTAATGTGCTGGACTACAAAGTCAGTTTGAACCACAAGATCAGTGGCTCAAGCTCACCAGCCACTCCTCGGAAACCCTATACAGAGTTGCTATGGGTTGAAGCCGATTCATGGCACTTAAAAACAACTATTATAAAAAGTCAATAATAGATATACCCTCAGAAGGCAATATTCTTTAATGGTTACCAGTATGAGGA